GCCGTAAATTACGCGTCGAACGTGCCGATACGTATTGCATATTATTGTTTAGATAAATATTTACATAAAGGTCGATTAATACGATATTTATTAGTTCTTCGATCAAAGGAGGATGAAGATCTCAGCGAATATAAAACGCGTCCACGCCTTCGTACTCGAACAAGAGGGAAGGAACTTGAAACCGAAACGACGTACAAAGTATTACGCGATACAGAGCACGAACAGTCAATAACGTTAAATATATATCTGGTCGTATAAAATACGAGCCGACGGCACTGTATTAACCCGCTTATCAATCTGCACACATGAACTTAGCGTGTCCTTGTCGGTGGCTCGGTATACTGAATTATCGTTACGACGGCAATAACTCAAAATACTATGGACTTTCATCGCAGCTGCGTTCATCCCCGAAGCAAGTAGATAATAAAAGAGTCGAGGCTAATTACTGGCTGTCCCTGCGCGGAAGGGTAGTAATAATCTGCCTCTACCTCCGGATGCAAGTGTGCTCAGGAGCGTGTGTACCGAGAATTCGTTATCGAACGACCTCGAAACAAGCAGGCGCAACGCGCCGTAGAATATTCAACGGGAATCGTTAGAACAAATAAAGAAGAACACCTTCCACGGCAGAGGACATAGATAATATACTAGGGGAACAAATAAACTCCTTAATCGTTGCGCGAACTAACACTGATCATTTATTTATTTCGACGTTTCGATCTACATACGTCGGAGGCCTCCTTCAGGAACGATTATTAACTTTTCTAATCCTTGATAATACGTTACATTTTTGTTAAAAAATTATAAATTGTACGTGTTTTTAGTCAACTTCGAAGAAATAGAATTTATTGCAGTGGACAATAGTGTATAACAAAAGGAACCATTAAAAAGTATATTTATCCAAGTACTATATTTAGAAAATAGTAATTCGAATGATACTGCGTTCGACGATCGATGGAATCGAATGGAGTAAAGGAACTCGAAATATCTCAGTTCGTGTGTAATGTTAATTCAAAGACGGTCAATTTGGATAATTCTATATGCGTTATTCGATCGTAACCTGTGTAGAAATTTGTGTATTATCGCAACCAGGTAACGAACGCAACACCTAGCGAGTTTGCTTCGCGGAAAATCGCGGGGAAAAATCGGGTAACTCGTTACTTCTGGATCGCCGCTGATGCATTGCGGGGAAAATTTGCGAGACACTCTGTATCGCATTCGGCCGATACAATCGCGATAATATATCTGCGCGTTGCGAACGCGAACGTTACGCTCCGCCGTGGCTTACAATACTCGGACACGAGGAATTTGCTAGAATTTATTCGCCGTCCAAGGCCGTCCTTTTTAGCGCATCGAGCATAAATCCAATCCTGATACGGTGATTTACTATGCCGTTATATTCTTTGACTCCTCCCGCTCTCGGTTCATTGCGCTAATTGCGACGCATAAAGAATCGCGTCGACCGAACTTTATGGCGTCCAACTGTCCGTTCCAACGGACCCTTATTTCACGTCGAACCGCGTCTCGAACTTTCTCACAAACCTTTTTCTCTTTCGATTCTCGCCTTGCATGTTTCGAGAGAGAAAAAAAACAAACACTTTCGTGGAAACGGGACTTCCTTTCAAAAAATTAAAACACTCGTGCACTTTCTACATTGCAACAGTCGATGATGATATTCGGTGACTTATTGCGTTACTAAATGTAAATATACATGGTTCTAAGTTGAGGGACACCTCTCATTTGCAATACCATTGTTCTAAATACCATTCCGTGAAATATTTAACTGCATTATTTACTATCTTTTCTCAGCTCTGGTTCCATGGTACCATTAAAACGACCCGAATCTCCTGAAAATGAACCGTGCATTACTGTATCGAGAAAGGGGTATTTGTCAACTAAGGGGCGCAATTATGGGTGCTCCTACGAGCGACGAGGAATCACGCGCGGTCATACACGTGCCGCAGTTCTCAAACAAAGACTTCAAACCGTAGCGCAGCCACCGGAAAAGCTTAACGGACCGCCATTGTTGCGTGACCGACGGCAGACGCATTATTACCTGTGCCATGCAGCAACTGGGACGCATATTGAATAAAGAACGCAAAAAAAAAGATATATATACACGTGCCGCTTTTACGCGTATGCACGCCCGCCATGGAATTCAGGATACGTACGTTGGGCGGTGCGTGCACGTTCCGCGGGTCGTCAATCCCTTTCAGCACGGACGGGAACGTTAAACTCACGACTTCCACGAAACGACGGTGTCTTTGGTACGGCACCACGTCCATTTCGTCACTGCTTCGACGAAAAAAAGAAAAAAAAGAGCGTTACGAGCGCACGAGGGCGCCCGTTAAGTCTAAATTAAGTTCCATTTTCTGGAAACGATTCGGCGTCCGTTCGTTTCGCGGAAACCCTAACGAGATTTTTCTCGACAAACGCACGAATACCTGGGGCAACTTCACCGCGAGAAACATTTAAATTACAACGGGAAGTTGAAATATTTTGTAAACAATTGGGGCAACGCTGTTCGAGAGAACGAACTTGAACTCACCAGCCATACATGGTTCCCCAAAGTAGATTTCCTGCGTTTGTAATCCACCCAGTAGCGTAAATTATACCGTACTTCCAACGCACTGTGTCAATTACACCCGATAGCACATCACGATCACTCGAAGAACACTTCGGTCGCGCGACAAAAATCAATTTTGTTATTGTGAACGTTGTCCCCGATTATTTCACTGTATCGCGCAATTTCCAATGTAACTGCGGAACAATTATCTCCTCTTTGTTGTCACTATTTTTATCGTCTTCGACACTGTTTACGGAACAAAATTAAATCGTATATGTGATCTTATGTTTCCGAACGATCCACGAATTTCATAGCTGCAACGAGTCGATAGAAAATAATTCAACCAGGAATGTGAATTATCGAAATTTATTGTAACGACGCAAATTGAACGAAAAATGGACCGTACGCATGACCCGTTGCAATTTTCTCATGCGGGCATTGATGTCACCACATTTGGTCGCAGCAAAATATCACCATATTCTAATAAGCTTCCATAATACAATGATTATCAAAGAAAAGTACGTTTTTCAATAGTACGCGACAGTGAACGAAATTAATTTAATCTAATTTTGAATAAGCAATACGAAATTACAATCGGGTGATATTAAGACGATAATCAAGATACCGAAGCATTCGAACGCTGAGCTTTCGAGTAAAATGCTACGTTCGCTTCGAACGGATACGCAATACACGATATAGATACAAACGAGTACGACCGTAAGTTTCTATAATATATTCGGTGTGTTTCGAGGTGTTAAAATACTTTCAGATCGTATCTCTCGTTATTAACGCCCGAGGGTACAAGTTAATTAAAAGTAACAATTGTAAAATACGATAGGTCTCGAATAAAATTTAATATCGAACATTGCCAAACGTTTCTGTCGTTCGGAAACATACGTAGCCGAAACCACCGCTTGCACGGGCATTAAAATCACCGACTCCGCGAACTAGAAACCGCCGCACTCTGTCAGTCGAGTACCCCAACGAAATGGAACGATTAAATTTTCATATCACTTCCCCCCGTCGTTTCAACATTTAATCGTCGTTGCTTCACTGGTTTATTCCACGACCATAACGGCGTTTGCAACAACAAATCTTGCATCGACGACGGTTCACGTTGATTACCACAAACGCGTAACGGTGCACACAGAGATGATTGTCACGATCGACGAGGCCACGGAATACGAAAATGTTATCCGAACGATTTAAATCGATCGCCACCAACTGACGCGCGTCCATTAAAAGCGACAGCAACCAGCTCGAAGGGACGGTTGCACTAAGACTGAACCACGGATCGTGGTTCCGAGCAACGAAACCCGCGAATCGAGCGAGGATCCAGAAGATCTCCCCCCCACCGTACCCGCTTCGCATCCCCTTCTACCTTTCGATTCCCCGCTCATTTCCAACCGCCAAGAACGGTTTCCTTTTTCTCCCGGCCCTTAACCCTCTTTTTCTGTTCGATGAACGAACGATTTCTCTCTCGAACGCGCCTCGCGAGACGATGCAACAAATGCGAACCGGGAACCGACTTCCACTCCTGCTTTCGTGCTTTATGGCGAACGGGAGAGCTTCGCCGATCGCGCTTGCGACTTTCAAATTCCCATCGCGTCGAAATCAAACTGAAAAGTGTGCTTGGGAACACAACCCTTACGCGCGAGTTAGATTTCTAAGATAGAAACGAATTTTTAGATTGCACGGTAAATTTTAAAATGAAGTTTCTGGATGACAGCAGAATGTCGATCTATCGTGAACATGTTAATGCAAAGAAAACTATTGCACGCTGTAGACAGTACATTTTATTGCAAACAAAAGTTACTATAAATAATGCTCGACGAACGGTTCGTTTATGAACTGTTCAAAAAATGTGCGTCGCGCGCAAAAGAATTGAACATAGCCGAAACAATCGCGCGAATCCATCGTGGACGAGAACGTTCATGCAAAATTTCAAGTAATAACTACAAAAAATGTTTGATCATTTTCATTGAAAATTTCAGTAAAAATTTACGAAAAAAAAAATGGGGAAAACGTCACGTAAATCATAGAATTGAAAAATGCCTCGTCTTTTGTAAAGGTATTTCTATAATTTATACCCGTCTATTCGTTAACTCCGATCAAGAATTTTCTCTTCTATTTTTAGTTATATTATCAATAGTAAATTTTATGTACACATGTTCCTAAGTAATAATTACATCAATCTTTACAATGAACATTCGAAATCATTTTTTTTTCTACCCTTGTCGCGCTACTTAACCCTATCGAAAATGATAATGAAATTTACAATTAATATTGTTTATCGATATTTTAAGATCTAAGAAATAAATCATTTACGCTTCTCGTAAGAAACAACAATGGCTTATAACATAAAACGATGAACGATTCTCCTATCAAGTAACAATAAACCCGGTAAAAAACTTATCCGTCAAATTTTGAGAAAATAATGCACGATTCTATGGACCTGGACAACACATCCGACGAACGTTTGGACAACGATGATCATCAAAAAAATAGGGACAGAGAGTTGCGCGGGAAACGCAAAAACTCCTGCAACCGATACGAGTTGATTAAAAATACTCAATTGTTGAAAGTACGAATAGCTAAGTGGCTGATCGAAGATCTAGAAAATAATGGGCCCGCAGGACTTCCACACATGGAGGCGTTATCGAGTATAATAGGTAAACCCATCAGAGTTTGGAAAGCCGACGGTGAATTTTATCAAACGATAAATGAAAATAAAAATGAGATATCCATAGACGTGGAATACCATCATTTAGGAGAAAATTGTATAGGTCACTGGACCTTAAAAGGTAATAGAGAACCCGTTAACGTGGAAACGAATTTAAACGGGTGCCTGTTCCGAGCGATTGCCGCTCAAACCAAAATTGGCGCCACAAACTTGAGAGACGCCACTTCAAAATATTTAAAACGCAACATTGACACTTTTACCGACCGAATCGATGAATTTTTATCGGCGAACGATAAAAACGGAATATCGCCGATGATTGGTGGCGCTCGATACAATGGTAGATCGCCAAAAGCCGCAGGCATCGTTTTAGACAAATCTCAAAATGGTTATTCTCAGACCGGCCAGAAGGGACACCCGAGAGGACACGCGTCGGATAAAAATGCTACAGGCCCGACAGACAGCGTCGAGAATTATTCTCGGCTGTCGTCGTCTATGAAATCTGGATTCTTAAGTAAGAATCATCAGAACATCGTGGCTGATTTTGCTCTGAGACACTATCTGTCGAAAGAAGCAATGAAAAATTTGAATCGCGGCGCAACGAACGAAGCGGTAACGATTAACGCGCGTGACTTTCAACGTGACGGTTTAAATTTAAACTCGATAAAAATGAAAGAGTGGTATGCGGGAGAAGAATATTCCGGTAAACTTGATATTGCTCGAGTTACGCTGGTGTTACGACATCACAAGGGAAAGCATAATGACCCAGACGAGGATGTGTTCGTGCACACATTCTATCCAAGGAGTTCGTAACATTCTAACATAAATTGCTGTTAACGCGCCGAGAATTACTTGATAGAAATGTTTCAACGTTGCGAGTAAGTACACTTGAAAGAATGTAGTTACGCTAGAAATAAGAATCGTCGCTATAAAATTCGAAAAGATACTTTCAACCCTCGCCCAACGTACTCTGGGATCCATTTAAAACTTGTAAAAATAATCGATAATAGTGACTAAACAATTTTCGAATACAAAAATGTAAAAATCAAAAACTTACTGGAATGCAAAATAACGAAATTTAGATTTAGGTAAAAATCGACCGTACTCGCCCCGTTCGAGGGTTAATCTACATGGATGTATAGAATATTATCCCAATAAACTCAATATTAAATCTAAAAGGAGACTTGTATGGATTCTTTAAATAAATAAATAATACGAGTTATAAAACGCACACAAGGTTTAAAAACTAAAGGATTACTATAAAAATCTGATATTCGATTAAAATTACATACTGTCTGTAGACACATCTAGTAAGGATTTGTAATATTAATAGATTTTAGCAATTATAAATACCAACAAAAAGTCTATGTACCTTTATCATTATAATTATCTAAGTTCACCCTTACTTCTACAAAGACCCAATTTAAAAACTTACCTCAAAAACTACAAAAATTAAAATACAGTATTATTTTATTAAATTACAAAGTAACTTGTAAACTGCGTAAATGTAAATAAAAAAAACACTATAATTTACAGAACATGAGGATATACATAGATGCAATATTTACATAATATATAAAAATCAGTAAATACATTATCTTATTTCGTGACTGCACCATGTCCATACCATTGTCCTCAAACAGTTTCTTGCCACTTCAATTTCATTGTCATTTTCAACACAATCTACTTTGGTTATATATTCACAACCAAAACGTAGCATATCTTCGCATTCGTCTATATCGCCCACGAAATGTTTAGAAAATTCAAGAATTTCCATTATGTGTTCTTTAGTAACGGCCATTTTCATGTACTTCGATAAAAGTAACTTTTGCAAAATATTTATATATAACGTGAATACGATAATCTTTACATCTTTCGACAAACGTGACATTAAACTCAATGCAATTTTTAAAAGCATCAACTTGTAATGGACGGTGTCCCCTCCCATTTTTAATATAGTGTTCAAAATTTTATCGATTATTTTCACTACAAGCTCTGTTAATCGAATTTCATGTGTACGCAAATTATATGCAACTTCTAATAACCATGGAAGTAGTCCATAGCCCTCTATAAGATACACAGAAGCTTTGGTGGTTTTCAATGCAACATCGATCACTTCCAGAATAAGTATCTGAAATAAAAAATATACAATATCAAGAAAATTAACAATTTTAAAACAAATTATTATTTGCAAACGCTACATTAATATTTAGAGGTCTTACTTTTGTGCGCGGATCTGACAAATTACAAGTATAAAAACCCAAGAGCATTTTAAATAAAACACACTTGAATGCAGTATTCATCTCATACTCCGTTTTCATACCATCGCGAATATTTTCCAGAATCCAGTGTCTATGCATTTTATGGTCTACGTCGGAGCTATGAAAGAGTATTAACAATTCGGGTATTGTATTTACATCCAATGCGGGTTTAGCCATCAAGAATACTTGCAAAGGCAAATAAAGAGGATGCAATGGTTGCGTAGCGATTAAAGATGTTCTTGCCAGAAATGTAGAGACTATAGAATTTAGACGGACATCATCAAGCTTTGATTGTAATGAGATAACACCATAACGAACCGCGTCTATCAGTCGCATCCATAATAACTTCCCTTTCGAACTATAAACATAAATATAAATACATACATTACAATAGAATAAACCAATGCCGATAATTATTGTCGTTAAACTGTCTCACAGTATACCTTGAAGCTTCCAAATGAGTATAATATCTAACAATGACTGTGTAAGCTAACATACGAACATCAGAGTGATTACTACTACACGCAGCGAACGTTAATCCCAGAGCACCACTTTGAGCAATTTTCTGACAGGATATGACATTATTTTCAGATAATAAAAAATACAATAATGGTAAATAAAATGCTGGATCGTATGTACCACTTGCTTCGTGTAATTCATTATTCTGCAACAAACAGAAATCAAAATCAAACGAATGCTTTGAACGTATTAGCAGGATGTTTCAATATATTATGAACCCACTTTTAATGCTCTATCCAAGGGATAATTTTGTATAGTGTTGCTAACTACATCTTGTTCAAATAAATTCAATACTTGGGAAGTAGATGGTTCCCTCCACAAATTCATATGCGTTTCACCCTTTACGCTATAATGTATCGCAGCCGCATTCCCCCATAAATATGGCCGATATTCGTAAATATTAATATTATTACTTTCATAATACTGTAAAATCTGAAACCAACGTATATGTTAATATTTTTTCTAAAAAAATTAATATAATAATATTTGTCTTCTTACAAGTAAAAGATACTGATCAGCTGCACTCAAAGTAGCATTGTATGCTGCTAAGTAAACTGGGATATGCGTCAATGCCATAACTGTTTTGTTCTTCTGAATAAGAATCCACAATAATTTTACAAGATCGCCTAAAAATATAATACATCGTTAATAGACAAAAAGAAACATTATTTTAATAGAATTGAAAATATATACGTACTTTTTATATCGGATGATTCCAACATTATATTAAGAAACTCAGAGTGAGAAGTTGCCATTTCAAATAAAGTTTTTGTGTATTCATTGTCACTACCATTCTTATATGCAACATCGCATAAAGTGCTTAAAGTTTTTAGTATTGGCAACGGTTGTTTATTGCCCTTTAATTCTTTAAAACCAAATTTCAAAGAAAATCGTGTAAACTGTGACCATGAGTGATTAGTATTCAATTCCTCGAAAAGAAAATCTTTCTTATCTTTCAAATGTTCAACTGCATTGTTCAATCTTTCACAAAGAACAAGAAGCTTCTTAACATTTTTGGATTCCTTCTTTAGAGTCAAAGTAATTATATGAAGAAGAACTTGTATAAAACTTTTAATGTACTTCTCTCCATCTTTTATCGCACATTTATTATAAACACTTTCAAGAATTTGTATATATTGTATAGACACAGTATCTAACTTATCGCCAATTTGTAAAATAGTATTACACGTTTCACTGCATGTTTTAAAATCGAATATGTTTTTAATCAAATAGGAAACTGCAGTAACATTCTCCTCTATCCAAACTTTCACATTTTTGGGATCGCTCAAATAGGATAAAATATCGGCTTCGTAATGTGTCTTCAATTTTTTTAAAAACTCTTGGTTCCATTTAAAATTTAAATTACTCGCAACTATTGGAAACACAATATTGCTCTCCTTTATATTTTCGGACGTCAACATATAGTTTGTAAAGATTGGTATGAATTTCATATTTTTACTAATCAAAAACGCAAGGAGCTTCACAGTTGTGTCCGTAATCGTTGTAGACAACAATGACAAAAAAGTATCTGCAAATGTATCATACATATTAAATCAATATTATAAAAAGAATAATAATATTTATCTTTCTAATGGCTTACCTGTATCGATGCCAGCAATATTATATGGATACTTTGAAATATATCCTTGTAAAGCAGATTCCCACTTTTCAAAATTAATGATCCCTTTCGACTTTAAAACAAGTAGATGAGAACATAAACATTTAATATATGCTGCATCTAGTTCAAACAATGCAGTGCGCTCGGATTTAATTTTATTATTGCTAATAAGTTGTAAAAGTTCTGGAATTATGTATCCATACATTGATAAATTCCTCTCATCCTTACAAGCAAACATTGTATCCTCTAATGTCACAAGCCTTTTTAATAAATATACAACATCCTGCGATGTTAGTTGCAACACGTTGAACAGAATTGCAATCGTTTCAACATTATTTATTTTGTCATATCTTTGACTTTTATTTATCATTTTATGTAACTGTATAAGCAATTTATTTTTGAAGTGAAATAATACATTTCTAACGTTCCATTTTTTGCGCCAATGAATTATTACATTACAAATATCAATAATTGTATGAGTTATCATACTCCTCATAATATCTTTGCTTTTCTGATGAAACGGTGAAAAATAATACAAGATGATAGGATGAGTGAAAACAGACTTTGCACATTCTTCCACGAGCATACAGCTGTCTGAACTTTCATTTGCAATATATAATAAAGATATTAAAAGAATCTTGCAATTGTCTATTTGGATTGTCGTTAAAATGCCTCGTTCGGTGAATTGTGTCAAATAAAATATAGTCATCTTGAACAAATACATAATTTCGTATGCTGACAAAGAATGATGGATCGTGATAGTATCATTGCTGTACTTAAATGTAACTATATTACCACCGTTAAATATTTTATTTATCTCTATTTTGGTATCACTTAACAACGCCAGATTCAATTTACACATTGAAGCCATAGAAAGGGGTACGTTTTCAATACATATCGGGCTACTGCCCTCCGACCAGCTTAGTAAATATTTTTTTACTGGCAACTCTTGTATATCTTTTGTTAAATGTATTAAACATTGAGGCGCAACTTGACAATGTAATGTATGTATTAATACGTAAGATGCGTAATGTAACGTTGCTGGATGTAAATCTTTCTTCAATTTACGCAACATGCAACATAAGAGAGGCGATATCGACGTAAAGCGTTGCATACGCAAAACATTTCTCTCCAAACTTTCATGAATAATATCTTTATCTGCCAGTTCTGAAAATATGATAAGGCATTTCACATATACTGTAATGTTAACGCTTAACAAGTGTATCAATTCTTACCATTAAATACATCTTCCAATTGACTAGGCTGAACTATCCCTACATTAATAATTTCTTCCATTTCAATTATTTCATTCGCATATCTTTCAATATTTTTAACAGCTTTCTTTACAATATTCATAAACCAATTTATTGTTTCTTCTTTTTCATCTAAATCCACGAAACCATTGATCCAGATATCCAATTGATCATTGCATCCCTCAAACATTCCAGTGGCATTCAATAAATTTTTTATTGTTATCTCTATACACGATGAAATCGTGGATACTTCTTTGTTTAAAAGAGATAATAAAAATGAAAGTACATCGCTAAATATTTTCTGGAAAAAACGTTAAGACTCGATAAATTAAATAATGTGAATAAATAAATATAAAAATGTGTTGAAAGTTATAATAATTTATGTACCTTTTGTGGTAAAAAATCCGTAGGATTTACAATAACTAAGAATTGTATAGCTTTTACTTTTATAACGTTAAATTCGAAAGTCTCGGCGATGTCCAATTCGTTCAGTATATTTAAAAACGTACTAGATCGTAAATCTGATAATGTGTGCAATAATTCTGGACATATATCATTATACATATGTAATAAGTTTAAAATAGCTATTAAGTGTTCATATTTTCGCGGTTCTGGAATGTGTTCTTTGTTAACATTATTATCTTCGGTTAGACTTGATACAAAGTTACAGTCCCACAGTTTCAATATTAAATTTAAATTGGGCACATTCTGGAATACCAAAAATTTTTATTCTATATAGTAAAAATACCATTATTGTATTTAAACTCTTACATTATTTACGTATTTAAATATATGTAAATATACCTTAGCGACAAATTCTAATATATTATTTTTAAATGCACAAAAGACATGGTCCTCATTGCAGTTTACTTTTGCAACTAGTAAATACTTCCGTATCTGATCGAATATAGTTATAAGTGCGAGTACTCCCTCATGCCTTACTATTATATCAGAGTGAGTTAAAGATGGCATAATTGCATGTTTCAATATTGCTCCTGGTAATGTTAAAGACATTATTGCACTGGCTAATTGAGATACACTTAATTCCATTGAACATGTTTTCATGTTTGTTTCTAAATCAATCGACTCTATAATCTGTAATAAAATTTACGAATGAAAACTTAACAGACTATTCAACTATACCCTTCTCCAAAACAATGTTGGAACAATATTTCTAACATATCTATTTTTTATTTCATGGTGTTGATCAATTTAGTTTCTGGAAGATACACGCATCGTTTAGATTCCATGTATTTATCATTATATAATTACCTTTCTCACAAATCTTATTGCTGCGATCCATTTCATTGATATTCTAGGTTCAATGTGTGGTTCCAAAAGAATAAACTGAGATTTAATTAAGTCTGGACACGCTGCCATTATTTGAACGATTAAATTTGATGGTTTTTCATGCTCCCAAGGTCGATCTAAGCTTTGCAGTACTGTATGTACCAATTGATTATATTTACTGTGGGATGTACCAAGCGTATGATCACGAAAAACAATACCATATCGATGGGATGTTAATAATATAATTAAAAAACTGTGCACAGTTTCGGTTACAACCTACATTAAAAAGAAATCTTATAATCCGACGGAACATTTACGTATTACGTATAATCAACAATACATACCTCTTTTTCTTCAAGATATTGCGGACTCGCTGTGGTGCTCTGAATTTTATTTTTTGGCCAATTGTTTGGACCTTTCCAATTATATAGGAGTACAAGATTCTGAACGACTGACGTCGAAAATATATGTAACTTCATGGTTTTGCTAACTTTTGGATTTTGAAGAATGTAAGTTTTAAGAGTGGTTATAACTAAACTAATAACGTCTTTGGAATCATATATCATGTCAGAAAATATGCTAGAAAGTAGATTGCGCTTGTCGAGGAGAGTTTTAATAGTTGATACGTTTCCTTCTATCAAGAAAGCAAGAATGAAATTAACGTAACAATTTCTTACGTTCTGACTGTCCGTAGGCTTTGTGTGCCGTACGAGAGATCTAATGACTTCCGGTAACAAGGATAAATGAACGAGCAATTCACGTGGAAGACTATCACCTAATGACACTATTGCAGCCAACAATTGTAAAACCACTTTTCGCTCTTTTGCACTACTTTGGGCAGAAAGCATAGAATGTACCAGCGATAAGTGAGAATTAATTAAATGTCTACATTCTCCCACCAAATTGTACTGGTTTTCTGGATATTGTGTTAAAACTCTGAAAAAAAGAGAATATAGTTTAGTACAATTACAGTAAATTACTCTTTCATAGTAATACATTTAACCCCTTGATGCCTAGTAACACAGATTGAACATTTGATAGAAACGGGGAATTGTGTTTAAATAACTGTTTTGAGATATATCGCGCAAACCTTAATTTATAAAGTAAGTTATCCATACAATAAAGTTTCTGTTCGTCTGTTTTGGTCACCAAGGGGTTACAGAGATACGTACGTATCATACATACTTTATTAACAATATCCTTACTGCAGCAAAAACAGTTATGATAGCAGTAATACTTTTTTTATCTTCTGTATCTAATAATCTTAATATCTCGAGGATGTTACCGCCCGAATCTAAATATTCCGCTGCTAAATCTCTTTCTGTACTATTATTACAAATTTTTACAAATTTTCTTAGCATTTCTAAACCGTTAGCAGAATTTAAATTAGCTCTTAAGGACTTCCCATCTAATTCCTCTGCTTGTACATTTATATTTTTCTCATCACCGGAATCTTCCTCATCCTTGTTATTATTTTCTGTACCTGTGATTGATTAGCTGTACATAATTCTAGAAATAATTATTTTATGTATAACATAATAAAGTATATGTAATACTTTTTAACGACTTTGACTTCTTCGTTTCCATACTTCCTTCAGAATTATCACATACTTTGCTAGTAGATTCTTCGACATGTTTGCTACTATTTAAATCATTTATAGATGAATTTGTCTTGTGCCCTTTTTTCCGTTTTTTTGTTATCCCATTTTGTTTACTCGATAAAACTTGTTCGGTCGTGTTCGCATCGTTACAGTTATTAACTGCTTCAATACCGTCATCCAGCGTCTTACCGTCATCTATTTAATTAATTTCTTGAATTAGCACTTACTTAAACTTGAAAACAAAATTTATCGAATAATATTTTAATATACTTTTATGTCAGAAGTATTTAATAAGACACTTCTAACCTAATTTTGCTTTCCAAAAACAAACAAAAACTCTATTCGCAAAGTAATGATTACGTATATTTAATACAAATTACAGATATTAATATATCTTTGTTACAAAGTAAAATAACGTTACCTTCTTCCTCCACTTTAACTTTTCTTTTTCTGGTTTGTTTAACATCGGCTCGAATGCTGTGTGATTTGTCGTCCGTCGAGTTGAATTTCATGGTTTTCAAAAGTTTGATTATTCATAAATATTAAAAATTATACTTTCGCTAGATTTCTCTTATTCCTTAATAGAGAAAATTCAATGTTTACTTTCACGTCACACAAATAAAACATTATTTTCTTTTTGAACAATTAACATAACCTATATCACACGCAACCACGTGTATTCTTTCGATTGTTAAGGTTGGGATACATCCCCTCTCCTTCCCACTCGGAGGCGCTTCTGAAGCCGAAAATACCTGGCGCCATCTAATATCAGTGTTTCGAAGTCAAAAAATCGTCCCAGGATCACAGAATGTTAGTGGAGGTATCCGGAGTACAGCTACCCCCACTCCTCCTACTCCTGATACGCACTACCTTGATTATTCATTAATAACTCCTTTCCTGGGATTAAAATATGAACTTTTAGAATTGAAGAATGTAGTATAAACCCTTGGCAACATTCAAGGATAGTTTTTAGAACCATTCCGCTCGCAATTAAGACGTTATTAACGAATATCGGAAGTCGTAACATTTACGGCTGTGTCACCGCCTGCTTTAATCGATGAATTATCAATTTTTCAACTGTAATACCCATATTTTGGCTATTAGGGTACCAAGTAGACATCCTAGGCAACATTCAAGGACCGATTTTGCAACGCTCCATGCTCTAATTAATTAGTTATTAGCGATAAATCCCTAAGATGTCGCGTGAAAAGGTTAGAAACCGTGACCCGACTTCCGATATTCGTTAATAACTATTTAATGAGGCATAGCATGGTTCTAAAAATTATCCTTGAATGTTGTCAAGGGTCTGTACTATATTCCTAAACTCTAAAAGTTCATAATTTGTTCCCAGGAAAAGCGTAATTATTAAATTAACGAGCAACATTTCATTACAAGCGGAGAACCCCATAGTACGCTGTTTTCGCCTCTAGGTGGCGCCACCATCCAACAATCGATAATTCTCTGCGTGTCATGAATTACTGCTCCTTAATTTACTAATTACGCCTTTCCTGGGAACAAATTATGAACTTTTAGAGTTTAAGAATATAGTACAGACCCTTGACAACAATCAAGGATGATTTTTAGAACCATTCCGCTCGTAATTAAAACGTTATTAACGAATATCGGAAGTCGGCCCACTGTTTCTAACATTTTAACACGACATCTTAGTCATCTATCGCTAATAACTAATTAATTAGAGCATGGAGCGTTACAAAATCGGTCCTTGAATGTTGGTAGGGATGTCGACTTGATTCCCTAATAGCCAGAATATGGGTATTATAGTTGAAAAATCGATAATTCATCGATTAAAGCTGGCGGTGATACAGCCGTAAATGTCCCGACTTCCGATATTCATTAATAACTATTTAATGAGGCATAACATGGGTCTAAAAACTATCCTTGAATATTGCCAAGGGGCTATACTAGATTCTTCAGTTCTAAGAGTTCATATTTTAATCCCAGGAAAGGAGTTATTAATGAATAATCAAGGTAGTGCGTATCAGGTGTAGGAGGAGTGGGGGTAGCTGTAGTCCGGATACCTCCACTAACATTCTGTGATCCTGGCACGATTTTTTAAGTTCGAAACCCTGATATTAGATGGCGATACTGTTTCTTTGCAGATTTTAACACAATGATAGATCATTCATGTACATGAGCTCATATATATATATGCATTTTAGTAGTTCGAATTCCTGATATTAGATGGCGATACCGTTTCTTTGCAGATTTTAACACAATGATAGATCCATTCATGTACGTGAGCTCGTATATATATATGCATTTTAGCAGTTCGAATTTCTGATATTAGATGGCGATACTGTTTTTTGTCAGATTTTCACGCTATATGTATACAAGTAAATATAGCTTCCAGTAATCGTTTATAACTTATTAATTACATGAAATAAAGTATAGAGAAGTGGTTTAACAACTTAAATAAATTTGTATAATACTTTTAACTTTAGAATTGATTAAAATTAAGGAATTAATGGGATAGGTAGAGGAGAATACAAATAGAAAGCATGGAAAATATAGATCACGTGTATGTACACACGTGAGCTTGTGTGTTTCCAAGTGTTGAGGAAAACAAACTGTCACTCGTTCTCTTTCTCGATCCTCTTATTGTTTAAAAAAAAAAACTACGTTAACATCTTTTTAGGAAAACGGTAAACACTGATGATGTTCAATCTGTTTTAGTAGCGGCAACGCCAGTGGATGTATGGACGATGTTCCTTAACCTTGTATGCATGTTTATAGCATTATAAATAATCGTTGAAGTTTGTAAATTACTAACAAATATGATATTTATTCTATAAACGTTTTGTCTAATCGTACGTAGAGTTACTGTTTAAAAAACAATGTTTACACTTTAATATGATTGATATTATTGGTTACTCTTTTGACATTTATAATGTACTTACACCGCAAAACAAAAATAGAGGACATTTCGAACTTAATTTAATTTTTATTCATTATGCCTTGACACACCAATGAAATGAAACGGAGCATCATCTTTCTATCTCGTTTTATTTAAAACCAATAGCATGCTTAACTAAACGCTTGATGCTTAATATTTTACAACGCTTGTTCTTTATCGCAGAAACATGTCGACCGAGGAAGGAACTCGCAACGCAACTTTGCAGCCTCTGCAAGAGAATAACCAATCCGTAAGCAGTAGTTCGCAACACGCAGGGAACAGTAGGGAATCGAACGGTGCCAGACCCCAGGAGCAAAGCAGTCGACAAAATAATCTCCAAAGGATACAACAGAGGAAGCAACAGATGTTGAATTTACCCCAAATGAAGAAAATATTGAAAATCGCGACTTACAGCGCGTGCAAAGTCGACGAGTGCAAATGCGTCGGATGGAAGAATCCACAGTTACTGATCAAGTCACCGAAAAGCGACACGCAACCGATTATAAACTTTTTCGATCCATGCAAAAGCTGCACGCACGTTTTAGAGAATCATGTGTCTCACCTGACCAATCAGTCGGAGGATGAGATCAATAAATTGCTATGCATGGTCATAGACGCGGACAATATCTTTCTGGGATTGCAAAAAGAGGAGGATCCGGATACAAAGAAAGTATATTTTTACTTGTGTAAACTTTTAAGGAAATGTATACAGTCGGTGACGAAACCTACGATAGAAGGTCCTCTCGGGCAACCGCCGTTCGAAAGACCTAGCATAGCAAAAGCAGTAATGAACTTTGTCGCGTACAAATATGGCCATTTACCGCAGAGGGACATGCAAGCTATGTGCGACATGGCTAAGATGTTCCTGCACTGTTTAAACCATTGGAACTTCGACCCTCTGAGCGCCAGGAGAGGCACAATTAGCGTGGAAGACGCTCCTGCTTATAAAATCAATCATACGCGATGGCTGGTATTTTGCCACATACCAGCGTTCTGTGACTCTCTGCCCCATTACGATACTTCATTAGTTTTCGGACGGACATTCGTTCAAGCTATTTTCAAACCAGTATCCAGACAATTACTGGACAAATGTCACAGCGAGCGAGACAAATTAGCCCCGGAAAAGAGAGTGATAGTATTGACGCATTTCCCAAAGTACGTACAGATTTCTTCGTTTCGAGCAAAGCCACCGAACCTGCAGTTTTACTCGAAACCGATTACTGATTTCAGATTCCTCTCGATGCTGGAGGCAGAAATTTACTCGGACAATTCACCGATCTGGGATCCCGATTTCAAGCAGGTGCCCCCCACTTATTTGCAGACTGCGTTGGAATCAAAATCGAATCAAGGGAGAAGAACAGGGGAGTTCGAGAAAGTTACGGTCACTCCGAACGACAAAGATAATTACACGACGATCAATATAAGTCCGGGCATGAAAAAGATTCACGAGAAAAGGTCGCATTCCGAGGGACGTTCGGACGTGAAGAGAAGAAAAACCGAGGAAGTATTTGAGGATTTGCCCGAGGAGACTGTTGCTGAAATCGTGGCGACTATCAACGACCCTAATTACATGTGTGGACCCGATGCAGTATTCCCACCGAACGTACCGCGAGACGAAACTGCCAAGATCGAGGAGAGTAGAAAAATTATAGAATTTCACGTTGTTGGGAACAGTCTGACACAGCCGGTTTCTAAACAAACGATGCTTTGGTTAATCGGATTGCACAACGTGTTCAGCCATCAGTTGCCTAGAATGCCAAAAGAGTACATATCGCAACTAGTTTTTGATCCGTAAGTGTGGCTCATGCTAGAAAGAGTATTCAGTTTTTTATTACTTGATACACGCTGGATGATTTAATCGTAACAATGTTTTATTTGTAGTAAACACAAAACATTGGCCTTGATCAAAGATGGCCGACCAATCGGTGGCATCTGTTTCCGAATGTTTCCGACACAGGGCTTCACAGAAATAGTATTCTGCGCGGTTACCAGTCAAGAACAAGTAAAAGGCTACGGTACACACTTGATGAACATGCTAAAAGACTATCACATAAAGAGCAATATATTACATTTCCTCACGTTCGCGGACGAGTTCGCGATCGGATATTTTAAAAAGCAAGGCTTCAGCAAGGATATCAAATTACCACGATCTATGCATCAGGGATATATCAAGGATTACGAGGGAGCAACGTTGATGCATTGCGAATTGAATGCTAAAATTGTATATACAGAGTTCACCGCGGTCATACGAAAACAGAAGGAGATTATTAAAAAATTGATACACCAGAGACAGCAAGAGATACAAAAGGTTCATCCTGGCTTAACGTGCTTCAAAGAAGGCGTTAGAGGGATTCCTGTCGAATCTATTCCTGGTATTCGAGAGACCGGCTGGAAGAGTTATGCTCAAACGAGAACGAGAGGCGTAGCTAAAGGCACACCAGGCCCAGAACCGATGGAAGCGTGCTTGGATATTACGGACTCGTTGTACAATGCTTTGAAGAATGTTTTGAACAGCGTTAAGAATCATAGTACAGCCTGGCCGTTTTTAAAGCCTGTCGACAAAAACGATGTCCCGGATTATTACGATCATATTAAATACCCCATGGGTAAATGTAATTGAAATTCAAAACGTGATTGCACAAAATGATAGCTGAAAATTAATTAATTAATTTATTTACTTTTTCAGATCTGAAGACTATGACCGATCGACTGAAGGCACGGTACTATGTTACAAGGAGATTATTTATCGCAGACATGACACGGATTTTTACAAATTGTCGCTTGTATAATAGCCCCGACACCGAATACTACCGATGCGCCAACGCTTTGGAGAAATATTTCCAAACGAGAATGAAAGAAATTGGCCTGTGGGATAAATAGAATTAATTATTTACCTTACAGATAGACACGTCGATTACAATTCTTTTTTTCTTTCTATTGTACATTCATTTGTAAATATATAATTGTAAAATTGATAAACTCGAAAGAAAATGAACTTTTGGAAAAGAATATTTACGAGAGCGGAAATATGTATTTATTTATTTGTACGTGTGATTCCTACCTTTAAATAAAACTATAGGTGAAAACAATGTTTGATTCTGTGTAATCCTTTGCACTCCAAAAAACGGTTGAAAATAGGATATACAGCAAATTAGAACCAAACTAGGTACTTAATTTCACGGCCTAATTATAAGCATTAGTTTGAACAGTTAATTACGAAATGTAATACACCAATTATAACGAAGCTCTGCTTAGTGATTACTCTATGGAACAGCGAGCTCTTAAAATGCGTTAATTCTGAGAGAGTTAGCAAACTGAGACTTATATTTTCTATAAATATAGAAGGAACGTTAACTCGTATAATGTAAATGACAGAACTTTTAAATAGAGGCAATATTGGTCGAACGTTCTGCTTTAAATACAATTAAAATATTTAAGAAATTCGGTAATTTTCCATCAAATTTCGCCACGCGTCTATGGCCAACTAATTACTATTATAAATAAATAGTTAAAAGAAATATACGTAATCTTATTACAACTTTTACGTAAGAAAACATTGTTTGCATAATTATAAAGTCATATCGTAATTAACAAACGATCGAATATATCGGATATTAAAAAATATTAAATTTAAAAATACAAACAAGTTGTACAGAAAATTTTACAAGGTAAATGAAATATTTTATCTTTTATATGCATTTTGTAATATTGGTCGAACGTTCTGCTTTAAATACAATTAAAATATTAAAGAAATTCGGTAATTTTCCATCAAATTTCGCCACGCGTCTATGGCCAACTAATTACTATTATAAATAAATAGTTAAAAGAAATATACGTAATCTTATTACAACTTTTACGTAAGAAACATTGTTTGCATAATTATAAAATCATATCGTAATTAACAAACGATCGAATATATCGAATATTAAAAAATATTAAATTTAAAAATACAAACAAGTTGTACAGAAAATTTTACAAGGTAAATGAAATATTTTATCTTTTATATGCATTTTGTAATATTGGTCGAACGTTCTGCTTTAAATACAATTAAAATATTTAAGAAATTCGGTAATTTTCCATCAAATTTCGCCACGCGTCTATGGCCAACTAATTACTATTATAAATAAATAGTTAAAAGAAATATACGTAATCTTATTACAACTTTTACGTAAGAAACATTGTTTGTATAATTATAAAGTCATATCGTAATTAACAAACGATCGAATATATCGAATATTAAAAAATATTAAATTTAAAAATACAAACAAGTTGTACAGAAAATTTTACAAGGTACAATGAAATATTTTATCTTTTATATGCCTTATGATACGATGCATTTTGTAACTTCTGTAATTTGGTTTGTGTTCAGTGAACTCTTGGGAAGCTGGTTTCACTTTCTTCAATAAGCAGGATTTACTCGGTGTTAAATATAAATTATGTATATTCCAGTCTAAATTGCATTCGGTTAAGAGGAATCCAATATAGCTAGGGGGACAAGGAAATGCTTTATATGCTCTACTTGACACAAACTCTGTGTACGTAATGTAATAACATTCTCTTAATTGGCATACATTAAAAACCAATTAAAGCCTCTTATAAGGTGTTCGTTTGCCGTTTCTGTATCAGGTACAATATATCAGTACAGTTATTTGGATTTTATGATTTTTGTGTTAGTAATTGATACAATTACAATTACTTAATTTCTGTATCGTACTGTTCCTCGTCTGCATTACGCAAATGTAACAAATGTAGTACACCCTAAAATAATTCTTTTATAGATTTATAAAAAAGTTAACAAAAAATTATAAAAATTACAAAAACGGAAATAATAATGTTAGCTTGTTATACTAGTTAAAGGGTACAGCGGTTCGTAGAGATACCAGAAACTGTTTAAAATACAGACACAAATGTGCAGAGATGGGGAAAAGAGGGGGAGTTGATATAAAGCAGCTCCATTCTTACAGAGGAACAATGTTAAAGGAGTCAACGCACTGTGAAGATAGAACAAAGTCTAGTCATATAAATAAATCCTGTCTTTGTATTACAATATACATACTTAAACCTAATTTATTTTTAATTTTATTTAAAGTAATTATTTCCATTTTAAAATGTGTGACGACGACGTTGCAGCCCTGGTAGTCGACAATGGATCGGGAATGTGCAAAGCAGGATTCGCAGGGGACGATGCCCCACGAGCTGTATTCCCTTCCATCGTCGGAAGACCTCGATATCAGGTAAAACTAATTTTTAAACGTTTTTAACATTATAGCTGAAAATTTTCGAGACTTCTAAAACCTTCGTGTATTTCCAAATTCGTTAAGATTTACAAGATTTCGAAAAGATTCCGTGAATTTCATTGCAACTCTTTCTTCGTACAACATGTCCCGTGATATTCCCGCCAAAATGCGAGAACCTCTGATCCAGGAAAAAATCGACCGGTACAACGTCGTTTCTAAAAACTTTATGTAATATTTTTTCCTCCTTTTAAACCTTCGAGCAAGTTCTGACAGTTGAACGAAAAAATCACTGGACATCCTGTACAATAAAAATGCTGAAAAAAACCTTACGAAAGAGAATAAATGTTCGTTATTAAAATTTCGCTTTAAATGCTTCATCGACGATAATAATAAAACTAAAATTGTACAGGGGATTATGGTCGGTATGGGCCAGAAAGATAGTTACGTGGGGGACGAGGCCCAAAGCAAAAGAGGTGTTCTAACCGTCAAGTACCCGATCGAGCACGGTATCGTGACAAATTGGGACGACATGGAAAAGATATGGCACCATACGTTCTACAACGAATTGAGAATCGCCCCCGAGGAACACCCCGTTCTTTTAACGGAGGCGCCGTTAAATCCCAAAGCTAATCGGGAAAAAATGACGCAGATTATGTTCGAAACGTTTAATTCCCCGGCGATGTACGTCGCCATACAAGCGGTTTTATCGCTTTACGCTTCGGGACGCACCACGGGCATTGTATTAGATAGCGGTGACGGAGTATCGCATACAGTACCGATTTATGAGGGTATGTAGGTACTCACCGTTTCATCGAGTATAAATCCGTTCGTCGCTTCGACAACATTAGCCCTTAAAATCGTACGTCCTCCTTTAAGCTTCGTCCTGAAATAAAATTATTTCTATATTATTCAGGGTATGCTTTACCGCACGCAATTTTGCGTATGGACTTGGCTGGCCGTGATTTGACGGACTATCTAATGAAAATCTTAACCGAGAGAGGGTACTCCTTTACAACGACCGCGGAGCGTGAAATTGTTCGAGACATTAAAGAAAAATTATGTTACGTTGCTTTAGACTTTCAGCAAGAAATGGCCACGGCGGCCGGTTCGAGTGCTCTGGAAAAGAGCTACGAGTTACCGGATGGCCAGGTAATTAGAATCATACGTGAATTTAAATTGTCGTAAATGGACGTGATTCACGAGCTACGCGCGATTACTGATTACAGGTGATTACTATTGGTAACGAACGATTCCGATGCCCGGAAGCGATGTTCCAGCCAAGCTTCCTGGGCATGGAATCGTGCGGTATCCACGAAACCACCTACAACTCGATTATGAAATGCGATGTCGACATTCGCAAGGATCTGTACGCGAATTCAGTGTTGTCGGGCGGCACCACTATGTATCCAGGTATCGCGGACAGAATGCAAAAGGAAATAACGGCATTGGCACCATCCACGATGAAGATCAAGATAATCGCGCCTCCGGAAAGGAAATACTCGGTCTGGATCGGTGGTTCGATCTTGGCTAGCTTAAGTACGTTCCAACAAATGTGGATCTCGAAACAGGAGTACGACGAATCAGGACCGTCCATCGTGCATAGAAAGTGTTTCTAATTTACCTTGTATTTACGAACGAAAAAAAAGAACCGTATCTCATTCAGCTTAATAATAAATCAACATCGTATCGCATAAAAACATTCTTTGCTTTGGTATCCCGAACCCGACGATTTCAGAACGACTAATATTTCACATTTACCAAGACGTTCTTTATGAAATAATCTTATTTATTCAGTATCTCTTATTACCACTAAATTATAACTCGCATTATGTATGTACAGGGCATTTCGTAAGTGGTCAAATATTCACACGCGTAACGAAATCAATGAAAATGTTACACCACTTTTTCGACTTTACTTCACGGTTATGTTTTGAAATTTAATGGATGCAATGTAACGATGTATACTTCGAACGTATGACAATGTAAACGCTTTTCTATCGAACGAATAAAAAAAAAAAAAACAAATGTATATTTTTTTCACATTTGATCCATCAGTTACGGAATAACCTGTACGCATAGTAATAATGTATGTATTATATTATATAGTATAGTATTTATACACAATATAATAAATATATTTTACGTATATCCGTATCTCGATTCAATTAAGTTAGAAACATATACACATTTATTTATACTCGCGTGCATGGGTGTATTGTACTTACATATAAGTGACGCACTCGCCATACTCAACGTATACACATATACATTCGTATGTACATACTTTAGGTCCTGCAATTATTACACGAACGTGATCAAATATTCAAAATTTCTCAAGTATTAGAATTTTTTCCGGTTTATAATTCTACTCTGAAATTGTCCCATACTGTTGTTGAAAATATTTTTACAGGATGCATTCCTTTCTTTTAAAGTAACAAAAAAAAAAAAAAAAAATACGGTCTCGACAATATACATACCTATCGTCACGAATAAAACGGAAAACAGAAACTAACGTTTACTTGGAAAGACGTTCCTTTATTTACAAGTAATAATTACTATATTCACCGTGTCTTAACGTCGAGCATATTTCGGTTCAAGAAATTCTGATACTTCTCATGGACGGCTGAATCGAGTATCGCGTCACAGTTGTTACGTATTATGAAATAGAATAATATAACTAAATGTACACGAATAACGGAGGTTATATCTTTATCGAGAGAATGTTAAAAAGACAGAAAAAAAAAAATCACAATTAAATGCAACGATAAAAGAAAAACATCTTGGATGTACGTAATTCCTAATAAAGTTATAAAAACTATTTGCATAGAAATAAAAAAAAAAAAGAATTGAAAATATGAAAAAACGTACAAGTTTTATGATACTGGAAAGCTATTAAATAAATTACACAATTCTTAAAGATTTACCGAATTACAGAAAATGTTAATACAATGAGGCCTAATACGAATCTTCAATGAAATAATCGTTCGATGATATTTACTGTCATAAATGGTGTTAATGTCCAATAAAAAGGAATTACAAAAATTTAATCAATTTCAATCTGCCACATTTTCGTAACTAGACGTCGTAACCCCTTTTCCTTTTATATTTAATATAAAACAATAAAAATTACAAATTATATATAATTTTCTATATAATTGATTTATGATGTCAACATGGCCAATATATGCAAGTTATATCGTTTATGTTACTCGTTACTTATTTATCGAGCTATGTGTTCCCTTAACTGTAATACTTATCTTTATCGCATTCGAACAACTGTATTTGCCAAATTTATTAAACAGCATTCCGATGAACTTGCATTCTGAACATAATACTAATCGCAATTCAAGTTAAAAAAAAATACATGTTTCAAATTTCAAATTACCGCAATCTAAAATACCATTATAAATATAGCTTGTTAATTAGATCAATTAATGTTACATTTTTTATTTTATAATGAAACTTTTGCTTGCATCCGTTACACCATTCAAACAAATACAAAAATTTTGTTGTAATCTTTATATGGTAATCTGTAAATTTAGAACATGAATATAGCGTTTTTTGTAATTTCAAGATATATCTGTAACAAGTTCTTTCAATGTATCTTTAGCATTTTAGGAAGACGATAGTTATGTCTATGAATGTTTATAAACCTTTCATAGATAATACGTATTTTACATTTATTACACTACAAAAATGGTCCACAGAGGGTACAACATAGCTGAGATAATTTACCGGATGGACGCATCAGATACTTATCAGAATAAATTGTGATGGAAACATTACAGACAGTTGAAAACCGTAATGGATCGAATTAACAATTTACTTTTGTGTCTAGCGTATTCCTCGAGACAGAAATTTCATACGAATTCATATTATTCAAACATCGAATTTTATCCTAAAATCAGTTAATATTAAAATGAAATTAACAGAATTTGATCCAATATGGTTTTCAACTCTCCAAGATTTACATTATAAACTACATATTTTCACCATTCAAGAGTATTCTAATCCTTAACGATAAATACACTTTTGTAATACAATAAATACATTTGTACCACTGGTACTTTTTGGAAATATTTATGGAACCATTCCATAGGTACGAATATTTTTTTCCTCAGTATCGATTCGAGACTAAAGAAAAGGGGCTACGAAGAATTTAAGATAGATTGTATTGTTCGCTTGCACGCAATATAGATTTTGCAACAGATCTTTTTTAGACGCGTACCTGTAGCATATTTTATTTATGTTCGATTAAATTCAGATTTTATACATTTGGAGAAAAAATAAATTCAATCTGAACCATTTAACTTGATTATTATAGTTTGTACAACCCCGATTGAGATTTCACAGATATAAATAATAAATAATTCATTAAAATCAAAGAAATCAATAACGTTTTTATCAAATTGCGACAATACACACAGTTGTACGAATAAAATGACATTTGCCGATTTTAACGAACCGACAATTTATATCGATTTATATCGAATGTACATTCTACAGACGAATAGATAGAAAATAAAAAAGTAGTAGGTACTTCTCTTAGTTACAGTCATCTTTCCTGGATTATATTTTTAAAAATGTAATAAAAATATCTTTGGTGCCCCTATTCACATAGTAAAAAATATATGGTTTTAAAAAAGAGAGAGAGAAATTAAACAGAAGTATAAGGGAGCAAGTCTACAACAAAGATTAAAAATGATAAGACAAAGGTCCTGTCTGTCGTCGTAAAAGCGTCTATCTCCTAGTGGATTTTCTTCTACCTGTCGATCGTTTTGGACGCCGACTATTTGATCGTGGCATGTTTGACCAAGGTAAAGAAAATTCGCTGTAAGTTTAAAATTAAAGGTAATTAATATAAATCGGTATGAGTGCGAATTTTGTATTATTAATACGTTTCTATTTACCTTGGAGAGAAACTAGGAATAGGAGCACCAAATGCAGTAATAGGTAATTGGGGATCCACTTGAAGACTTTGTATTTGTTCTATATCAGGCCATAACGACGATACAGATTCTTCTTCCACCGCAGATGGGCAAGGTCCTGTATGATTTGTATTGTAACACGTTGCTTGATGATTCTGACGTTCTTGTCTCTGTTTTAATTTTTCGATGTGCCTCTGCTCTCTGAAAGAGACGGTTTACAAATATTAAAATTTAAATAATGCATTAAATTTATCAGGCAATAATATAAATAAATACTAATTATAATACATTATTCTTTTATCATTTTATCGAAAATGCAAACCTTATCCTTTGTACATCCCATCTTTTTCTCCTCCTCTCGTCGTTCTCCAGTTTTAAATGCCTCTTGTTAAAAATTTCATCGTCTAAATTTTCAGTCCCTTCCATCGTGTAACAGCTTGTATATATTTTCACTCTCCAATTTGGAACTTCCAAGGAGGTATCACTTTCCACTGGACTAGGTTCCTTCAAACTTAACGTATAATTAGGATCTCCAACAGCCGTGTAATAATGTTCCTCTGTTGTGAGGAAAGATTCTTTCTTTGCCAATAGTTTGCCTTTTCTATCACCTTTTCTACCAGTCTCGTGAGTTAACACTTTATCTTGTACTGTAGATGACGTGTCATTGCTGATCGTAGACGAACACGAGACTCCTCTTTTTCTTTTGCTTCCGCTAGATAATGGTATCGGGTCTGATCTTCTCTTCTTTTTCTCTTCCCACTCTAATCGAATATCACTACCAGTTTCTACCTTGGTTTCAAGTTTTCCTTGGTTATCGTTCAGTTCTTGTTTCACGGTAGTAATTCCACCACTAGTGTTCAAACGAATCTTAAAACTCTCATTATACTGAGAATTATTGTTCTCGGACTGAATGTTTCTATGAATTTCGCTGGTCGATGGCACATTCACAGAATTGATGCTCGGAGGTGAACACGTCCCAATATGCTCTGATGTAATGGAATTTTCATTACTTTCTGACCGTAATTTTTGTAAGTTTACACGTCTGTCCATACGTTCCAAACGTAACTTTAGCTATAATATAAATATCCATTTATTAGTAAAGACTTAATGTAATTTTAAATTTAAATTTCTGTTAACAATAAACACTGAGCACTATTCAATGAAAGTCCATTGTTAAGAAATTAACGATAAGTAGGAAAAACGTAATTATAACAGAACCTAACTATTTAATAATCGTAGAAAATCTCGGCCAGTTAAATATTTTTATTTCGTTTGATATAAGCATAAGTATATAAAGATGAACAACCGCACAAATTAGATAGAATTTGATTAAACAATCTTTATTTACTGTCAACAAACGATAGGACTGAGACGATCGGGTTTTAATTTCTTTGCGAATTCCAGGCATTATTGTTTCCACAATTTATCACACGTATATATAGCGAAATGGAGCAGCAGTGACAATGACATCATTCGAATCGTTTAAAATTGAATTGTTTTAAAAAATCGGTTCATTCAAAAAAATCTTCCATTTTCCATTATGAAAGTGCCGTCACTGCTAAGGCAGATCGCGCGCGAGAATCAAGCAGAACGTGTAGTAACGTGCTTCACGTTTCAAAGGTGCAATTCTACACGAAACAGCGCCATCCCGTGGCGTCGTTATGGCTGACCTTCACGATTGACCGACCAATGACAGAAACAGGAATAAGAACCGGGAAAATAGAGTCGAAAGAAAGAAAGGCAGAGACACTGACTGACGTATGTACGAAACAAACATAAGCGCGGGTATTTTGGAACGTGTACTTATTCACGTCGATCAAATTTAACGTTTAAAAGCAACGAACAAAAACGAAAAAACAAAGTAAGTTTATGACGATCGGTACAATCGACGAAGCAAAATTATGTATAACCAGAATACGTTAAATGGTGTGTAGAAAGAGAAAGGAAATACCGTTTCGTTCTCCTGCCGAAGAGCTGCTAACAATTTGTCCTTGGTGACGATTTGCTCGGATTGTTGCTGTATCAAATCAAGATGAAGAAGCAACAGTTCTTTGAGGTGCTTCACCTCCGTCAAATCATTCTGACGGGGTTCATTACCTCGTAAAGGGCTGACACCAAGAGCAGAGGTAGCAGTAGCAGCCGCCGGAGCTCCACCGTCTGTCATGCTGGCGTACATGTGATCAAAGTCACAGGGGAAACTGAGTATTCCGGCGACCGGTTTACCGTTTTCACCAACGTTTTGGAATTCATTGCGGGAACAACTATTGTTCTGGTTGATAACGGAATTACCAGTGGTGCTGGTCGTAGAGACCGTACTACTCCGAACGCCGCTGGTGGCCGACGTGGTGGACAAGTGTTCGTTCATCGCCGCGACCATGTTGTCGTCGTCCTCCTCTTCGTTGTCCTCTTCCTCGTCTTCTTCGTAACAAGAAGTGGCAGCAGAAACAGCCGTGGTCGTTTGTTCGTTGTGATCAATGATAGTGGCCGTAGTATCGGTGGTATTGGTAGTAGTGGTGGTAAGATTTACGATTGGCGTCTCGATGCACGAGCCTGAGTACAGGTCTTGATATTCAGTTTCGCTAAACTCCGTTCCGTCGTTCGCGTCCCTTTGATCCTCTATCGTTTCAAGACTCTCCACTGTCTTGAGATCAGAGTTTACGTCGCCAAACTCCACGCTGCCAATGACGCCCCCGGCGGTCAAGCCGGTAATACAGACACCGCTATTACTGCCGCTGTCACCGTTCCCACTACTACCAGCGGAACAACCACTATCACCATTATCACTGCCACTACCACTACCGGCGTTACTAGTAGCACTAGATCCAGTAGTACCAGTATCAGCAACAACAGCAGCAGCAGCAATAGAAGTAGCGTTACTAGTTTCACCAGCGAGAACAACTTTAGATGAGCCAGTGCTGCCAGCAGCGCCGCTTTCGTTCTCCTTCCTGTTCCCGTGCTCGTACTCATGAACGTTCTCCTTCTTATTTTCACCGTTCACGAGCTTCGAGGCCGAGCCACTCGACATCTTCCCTCTCTACCACCCTCGTCGTGGCTTCCCTCTTCTTCATTTGTGGCCGCTTCGAGCGTACCACGCGCCCGCACCGCGCACATTAAGCGTCTTGACAATGCCCTCACCGACGATGTCCTCTTCTCAACGTCGTTCTATTTACTCGTTACATATCATTACCCTTCGCCTATCCCTCGCACCATCGGCTTTACAATCACTTCGATTACGAACGATGTCGTTTTTCCTATCTGTCCGTGTCTAAAACACTCGTCAAAGAAGTCTCTGCCACTGGCAGCGCACGAGGTACTCTATTGCCCGAGATCGTGCTTATGTTTACTCTGACGGACGATGCGAGCCGCGCGGCGTTTCACTGCCCCGCAACATCCTACGCTCCTGACATCTACCGTCGCAAACCGCAAACCTCCTCGTTTTCTTCGGTTTTTCCATCGATCAGCCACTTCACCATCGACGCACGTCAACAAATGCGAGCCTCTTTTTTTTTTTTTTTTTTTTTTGCTCCGCATTTGCAATATTCGATGCAATTTTTCGACACCTTCTCGGCATAATGAAAAAGGGCGCATGCGTTCTACGTTAATGCGTCTATTTCTTCTTGTACGGTCCTATACCTAGGTATGCTGAATGGTCAGCGCAAATATTTGAAATTTTCTGATTGAAAAGTTTTTAACACATTCACTGGCCGACGGTTCAGACTTACATGTCTTTATAATGTTTACAATAAATGAACTTTAACACATTAATATGATACAACTGTTTACGATTGTATTGGCACGATTTATATTATTTATCAATTATTCAATTATATTTCTTTCTATTTGATTTTATAATTCTTTTTCTCAAAATCTTATATTCGAGTTGCTGTTAATATGCATCGTGATTTGTAATTAATTATTAAAGTTCTTTACATTATGACCGCCAGAAACGCCTACCGGCAACACTATTTTCTATTACATTGCTTGGCACTAGCTTTGCCAATTACGCGATAATTTTAGAAAATTTTCGATAATGCATGAATGCGTCATTGAAAACTATCTATTTATTTTCGTAACATGTACCTCTTTAAAAAGTTCAATAAACAGTATTATGAAACATGAATTTGATCACGCATGTGTAGCAACATATAGAAGACAATGTGACTCTACATTTACGATCACTACATTTATTGGCAATAATGTCTCATAAAATGTTTATTTCGATAATTTGTATATTGGCATCAAAAATTACAGTGTATAATGCGTTACATATTCTTGTACTGTTCTATGAGAAAACCGTGAAATCGATGGACTAAGCGAAAGTATATTTTAAATAATTTTAATGATCATGAACGATGAACGTCTAATATACAGACTAACAGTAATAGACATGACAAACTTTGAGCATACGAGTTTATGGGTTATTCGATTACATTTTTTTCGGATATGTATGATCGTCTCTCAAAGAGAAAATTGATACAGGTTTTGCATATAAAAGATGAAGAAGCTAAACACTAAATGCTATAATTGTACCGTGAAAAACTTATACGATACAATCCATGAAGGTAAATTTTAGACTTAATTATAAACATTATATTGCGTTGTACTCGTTTTTTAACTAAAATCGGTGTCCTTGCGATACCAAAACATACGTGCAATAAACTTTGATTATAGAATTTTCGATTTGGACGTAAAAGTTTTAAATGTATACAAAAAAATTTATTACCCCTGCAAATTAATTTTTAATGTATCGAGAACAAAACTCATACACGTCAGCCCGATCGAGCCCTTGTTTGTCAAATTTATAAACAGCATAATAGCTTTATTGTTATTTACTAGAGTCTAGCCTTTCGTTAATTAAATAACAGTAATCCGAAGTTTTTCGTGGGTTAGCTTGGTAAACAAAATAAACAGTATATCGCGACATACGTTACTATTGTATTTAACCTATTTTGATTAATGTAGTATATCCGTGTACTTTTAAAAGTCACTAAACAATTAAAATGATGCATTCTTATTTATCTCACAATATTATTTAATTTCTAGTCGACCATAGCTTGCATTTATCGACTTTTTAAACGTCACCAATACGATCACCGTTTTCAAAATAATAATTATACAATGTCATGAATATCGTTCAGTAGTTATATTTAAAAAAATATGATATAATCGTTCCTAATCATTTTCTCGTGTATGAATCGTCCCAGAAACTGAATTTTATTATGGGTATTATTTACTAAATCGTTATGGTAGAATTATAAGCCCCGATGTAAACTAAGCTTAGATCTATCTTATACCTAGTTTTTAAATTCTATCGAGGGTGGTTTTGATGCGTCTGAACGTCTGAGATTAAAAAGAGACATTATCGGTGAAAGAAATTGTGTCGTATTGTAACGTTCACCAGCACACACCATAAAAACACATAACTTCCGAATAATTCGGTATTAAAAGTCTAGCTATGTTTGAGTATTATTCGAATCTAAAGATGCATATACGATTAACAAAAAAAAATTGCATCTCGTCGATCCGCGATTTTTATCGCGATGGCGTCGCCTTTTTCCCCTAAGCTTATGCGTACGATATTTAAACATCGTCTCTCGTTACCGCTTATGGTACATTAATTAAATATCTAATAAATATAGTAACAATGGTTTACAGCATTTAAACATTAACTAATTACATGCATACATAAATATAATTATTTTCTACGCTACGCGATGCTACTCTCTATGTATATTTCTATGTACAATTGTTATAGTACTTGATTTTTTTTTTTCTCATTTCGATAATATTTCTGCCGCAACTCGCATAACAGAATTATGTTAAAACTTTTATATTCAACAAATAAAACTTTAAAAAATTGTTCATCAGAAAATACTCGTTTAAAATAACAAAATGATAATTAATCATAAATTCTAACAGTTTCAAATAACATTTTTTCTCGTACCAGGTAAATATGTATATTTGGACTCGTAAATTGTTTCGAATAGGTCGACTTTTCAGTCGAATTTCTTTTAGCCATTTCAGGAAGGTTTAAGCGTAGTTTACAGTGATTTGAACTTCTGTTACAAAAAACACTTTTAGCAATACGAAATACATGACGGTTTTAGGAAAATATACGTCACAGTGGAATTTCTCGGATGTTATGTCAATGCAAAAATCGTACTCTTATGACTAGAGTTATTTAGTATCAACGTAATTAAATAATATCGTTCCTTAACTCCCTTTTAAGCACAGTAACATGATTTTTATCTTCTTATGTGTGTACATATATACAACATATACATACGAATATAATTTTATAAGAAAAATATTTGTCTTTCTGAAACTGAGCTGTGTTTAACCCTCTAGATTTTAAAGAGTCTTCGATAAGTCATGACTTTATAACATTTCCGTTTAAAATTCACTGTCTGTAAAAAGAGTTAAAAGGAACCGCATAAATTTATTACACTAAACGAATAGTAATTCGTAACGTTGGGTCCGTTTCTCTTAACCTGATATTTTCCCGTTTTGTTACGATAAGTTTACTGTGTCGGTAACGATAGGAACTAGATTTAAGTCTAATAAAAAATTAAACTCCTTCGAGAGTATGTGCGCGACTCGACAGCATCCGTGACACATACAGAATAAACTAAGTTAACAACAACTGCGTGGATTTAATTCGTTATATTGTTGAGATTACACATTTTCCGAACAACATTTCGTTTAAAAATAATTTAATATTCTCGAATTTTTTTTGGTAAAACGCAATGGCCGACGCGTAAATTAAAGCGGATGATACGAGTTGCATTCACCGTTCGTTCTAAGAACGTTTACCATAGTCAAGTCACGAATTCATCAATGAATTTCATGTTCGCGTTCGATTTATTCGTCTATGAAAATGTTCTTTTAAAAAATTGTTTCTTTTTCATTCAGTTATTTAAGTGTAACGATGTCAGGCGAACTCTTACTGGTACGATATTTGCCGGAACATGCTGCTGATCTCCTCCGCCGTTTTGTTCTTCGTTTCGGGCACTTTCTTGTAAATGAAGAATACGAAAAATGCTTGCAGCGCGGCGAATATAACGAATACGTAAGCACCCAGTCCCTCTTGCAACGGTAGGAATCCTATACTGACGATGAAATTCGCCGTCCAATTCACCGCTATTGCGACGGACGTGGCCGCTGGTCTCGCGGACTGATTGAACAGTTCGGATACCAAGAACCACGGAATACTTCCTGGTCCTGTAGCAAACAAAGCTACGAACAAAACCACCAGTATGATCGAGAAGTAAGCTGCCGCGCTAGACGATGCCTGTAAAAAGAAATTCGTACTTAGATCCTCGTATTAATATTTTCTCGATGCATATACACTGATACATAAAAGTATATTCCAACGTGTATTTTATCATGGAATTTTTAAACGTAAACTTCGTACAATACTATAGTTGTACAATCGTTTCAGATTGAATACTTACAGCGAAGGCAAGGCAAATGGTAAGTAAGACGGTGCTGACGAATATTCCGACAAAGCCAACCAAGAGCAGCGTTTTTCTTCCAGCTTTTTCGACGAGTATCAAAGAAACGAATGTCATAAAGACGTTCACCGCCCCGACGACCATCGTCGCTATTTGGGCGGCAAATTTATCCAACTGCGCCATCATGAAAATCTTGGTCGAGAAGAACATCACGGCGTTGATACCGGACAGTTGCTGGGCGAACATCACCATAAGCGCGATTATCAATGGAATCCTGAGCGCTGAATTTACGAACAGCTCCTTAAGCGTAACCTTTGGCACGAGTTTCACCGATTCATATTCCGCCCTCATTTCCTCCATCTCGTCGTGAACTTCGATCGTGCCTCGCAGCCAAGACAAGGCTGTAAACAATAAACAGGCGTTCTCGTTTTATTGTTAATCTCGTTACCGATAAATGTTCTGCTCCAATAAGAGATTAGACGACAATTAATGCTCTGAGCTATGAACTTTCGTAATTCAACGGTTTTATCAATATTAAACGCGAATTAAACGGCAAAGTTTCGAAGCTCGACGAAGAAAAATAATAATTTAATCGTAGCAGGATACAGAAATGCATCGTTTTTAATAATTGTCTCACCTCTCTGAGCTTCCATGTCCTTTCCTTTGCCGAGCAGCAGAAACTTTGGACTTTCAGGGCACAACGGAAGCGTGGCTACTTGAAAGATGGCGGGGACGATCGTCAGACATAAAAGAAGCGGCCAGTGATCTTCCGTGCCCAATATTTGCTCCAAACCAAGGATCTGCGCTACCAGTATAGATATAGTAATGACTAATTGGTACACGGTACCAACGGCCCCTCGCAGGTGAATAGGCGATATTTCAGCCAGATACATGGGCGCCAAACCAGCGTTCAGTCCAGCATTGATACCAATTATGAATCTTCCGATGATTATCATTTCATAACTCTTCGCTGTCTTTGCACAGCCCTGGAAGATCACTGCCAGAAGGACTAGGACGTTGTTGAGTAACAAACCACCCTTTCTGCCAAAACGATCGGCTATCGTTCCCACCAATGAGCCACCGATCATACCGCCCACGCAGAATATTGCCACCGCTGTCGCCCATATTATCGTCACTTCGGATTGTTTCGTTACGTGACCGGTTCGATTCATTTTCACCTCGCTGATCCATCCCTCGATAAGCTACAACGTACCAATTATATAAATTTCTACTAAATTCCACCTCCTGTTTGAAATATATCTATCAGTTTCGCGTGTACGAATCCCTGTTATTTTACAGCAGCAATTTTCCGATAATACGTATTATTAAAAAATCGCCCGCGTCAATTACTTTTGTTCGGCGTTGTAAACGCGACCGTGATCGAGGCAAGCGTGCATTTAAACGTTTACACGGCGATCAAAAGTCTCAGATAACTGCTGACTGAAGGATGTGGCGAAATACCTGCTGCGGTGCATTAACGACACCGGTGTTGTACCCATGCTGAAACGATGATCCAAGTGCAGCAGCCGTAATAGCAAACGCTAACCGCCCAGTGAGACCCTGCAACAAACATAATCGATCCTTAGATTTGCTCGTTCCTACGAGTTGGATAACTTTGTCTAATAAGCCCCCCATTTTTACCAAATGCAGTGCAGTTTTTGAGATACTTGGATTCGTTTCGAAAACTTTTCATACTATGTATGTGACTCTTTTTGTATTCGAGTACAGTCGTTCATCGAGACAATACGAGCACTTTATCTTTTACCATTTACATAGTAGGCGCGTAAAGCATACATAGATCTGTTTGTACTTTACCGATTTCTCAATGTACTGTAGCTCGAACTCGATCGTTTTCAGCGTCATCGAAATGTTCCAACTAATGAACCGACTCGAATAGAATCACATCGACCGTCCCCAACAGCTGAGGCACGTTCCAACACTCGAAGTTTATGCAAAATATCGGGCACCGCGACGTTTTCAAACACGTGTCAAAGACTACTCTGCAGGTCGGTACCCCCGCCACACATTTTTATACCACTCCTGCCCTCGACGCACACAACCACGCTAAACAACCGATACCGACACAGCTGAATAGCAGGCAGACCCTAACTGAGGCTACCAACCAGTGTCTCTCAAATCATCTGCGCTTCGCTATACTTATTTTCCTGGCGTAATACACTACGGAAGCCTTATTCCATTTCCAGTATTAAAAAAACTGGAAAACAAGGTCACAATAGAACACACGTTTACTACGGGACACCCTATATGTACATATCAGCTAATAATAGGAAGTGTTATATGTTTCAATGTTGGTGTAATAAACGTGCGTCTATTTACCTCGCAACGATCGGCACGCGTACAGAAATTTAATCGCGTATCGTCCGCTTCTTATTTTATTTCTAAATTAATCGCCTGGTTTCACTTACGGATCCTCGAAAGGAGAACATCTGTCAAGACCTCTGATAAAAATATGAATGTCACGCGATTTTTTTTTACTTTTCATGAATATGCATATTATGAAACGTGTAAAATCGACTCTCGTTTTCACGTGGGAGCAATGCCACGACCGGCTTCTATCGCTACTTTCAGGACGGTCTTTAACCAATTTAATACTGTTAGGAATCCAGCCAACGTTTTATTGTAAAGTGTCCAAAAATTAATCTCGAGCGTAGGAGATACAGAATTCCACGTAGAAAAGAAAAGAGTTGTTGCGACCCGTGTTTCTTGGTCGAACGACGCGCAGATTTATTTTAAAATTCTGTCGCGTACATTAACATTCGTGAAAATGTAAGTCGATTCGCACACGTTCGTGTAAAAATGTATTTACACGGATCTGCTATTTTAGTTTATAAATAAACGGTCTTCCTTGTTATCATCGATTATGAAAATTCGCGCCACCGCACGAATCCCATTAACCCTATGTCACCGATTTCCGGTTCATTAAATACTTTATTGCTATACAAAAGTTGTTTATCTGCTCTCTGATTCGACCAAGTACATACAACTCGGCTTAACGTCATGAAAATTACACCACCGGGTTGCGAATTCGAAAAAATTGCTTCATAAGCATGCTGGTATACGATAATGTAATCGGTCAATCATTCAAATATTTTAATCCAAGTATATACATTTCGATACATTGTAAAACATTCTTGAAACAACCAAAAATAATTTTTTCAGAATGATTTGAAATTTTTTAATTTCACACCTTCTCGAATTTTTTTCTCGAAAATGAATAGGATTTCGGGGGTATGTCTATTCATAAAAAATGATTGTAATTGACCCCCGCAAGTAAAGATAATTTTTTTAAAACGATTTGAAATTTCTTAATTTTGTCGAAAAATTTCACACCTTCTCGAATTTTTTTCTCGAAAATGAATAGGAATTCGGTGGTATGTCTATTGACCAAAAATGATTGTAATTACCACCTGCAACTAAAGATAATTTTTTTAGAACGATTTGAAATTTCTTAATTTTGTCGAAAAATTTCACACCTTCTCGAATTTTTTTCTCGAAAATGCGTAAGAATTCAAGTGTATGTCTATTGACCAAAAATGATTGTAATTACCACCTGCAACTAAAGATAATTTTTTTAAAACGATTTGAAATTTTTAAATTTTGTCGAAAAATTTCATACCTACTCGAATTTTTTTCTCGAAAATGAATAGGATTTCGGGGGTATGTCTATTCATAAAAAATGATTGTAATTGACCCCCGCAAGTAAAGATAATTTTTTTAAAACGATTTGAAATTTCTTAATTTTGTCGAAAAATTTCACACCTTCTCGAATTTTTTTCTCGAAAGTGAGTAGAATTTCGGGGGTATGTCTATTGACCAAAAATGATTGTAATTGACCCCTGCAACTAAAGATAATTTTTTTAAAACGATTTGAAATTTCTTAATTTTGTCGAAAAATGACACACCTTCTCGAATTTTTTTCTCGAAAGTGAGTAGAATTTCGGGGGTATGCCTATTGACCAAAAATGATTATAATTGACCCCTGCAACTAAAGATAATTTTTTTAGAACGATTTGTAACTATTTAATTTTGCCAAAATCAGCATCTACCCCGTGTCAATTTTGAACTCTAACTCTATTGTGATAAGATAAATTTCATTCCGTCTTGTGATGTCGAATTGATAATTCTGAAATGAGCACGCTACCGACTGGTGAAACAGCAAGAATTTGCCGCTCCACGAACATTCGATTGCGATTGGTCGTGATAGAGGTGTGTTTGTCGCGTCGAACGTCGATTGGTTCGTGGAGCCGAGCCTCTCCTGACGAGCCTCGTGGCAACTTTAGGCGTTCTAATTATAAACGATACCACACGAACGCGGAGATTTTTATTAAAAGGTTCTACGCGCGACGCGAGCGGTATCGATTGGCCCACAACGTTTTGGTAAAATCACGTTGCAGACATTTCATTACGATCACAGTCTCATGCAGAGTGTCTGTACGTAAGCGTCGAAGCGAATATCTCGTTAATTCATAGTGTAGATTCTTGCAGTCCAGAAAAAAGTCGACAACTCTTGACATCAAGACCTCTCGTCTTTGAATAGTTTCAATTGCCGATGAACAGAGTCGAGCAAATTTTTTACGCGAACAGACGGACGCGTGCAAATTTTAAATTCGTTCGAAATGCTAGCTTTCACTTGTATTTTCATTCGTTTTAAAATCCAGTTAATGGATTCCAACCTACGAACGGAACGTAAACGGATGTTACTTCACCGACGAATTTGAAATTCCTATCGTCACTCGTGAAAACAACACAGTTAAACTTCGATGACGCGGTTGGCAACTTTCTCCCAGCAACTATATAAAAATGAATGTTTCCCGGTATAAGATCCGGTTTATAAACTGCTTGTTCCCCCGTTCGGTTCATATAAATGGAGTTCCACTGTACATTAACGTCCAAAAGGTTCTACTTGGTGTTAAGAGCAAACCAAAACTTGAAAGCTTTTCGAGAATCTTTTCAAATTAAAATTGAAAAAAAAAAAATGTTACACAAAAGTAACTAAACGTTCCGCGTAAAAAGAATTTACACGTGGAACGTGTTTTTATTTCTACGCGTGCATAACTGATTTTTATTTACGTATATTTAACATGTATGATATTAAAAGTATTACGTTTCTGCATTATTTATTAGCTTGCGTAAACTCTCGCGGAATATAAAGAATATTAATTACAAGCCGCATTCCATTTGTTAAATGTGCGTCGCGAGTATAATTTGCAATTGTGATCTCGTTGCTCTATATACATACATATATTTGTATACAAATTGATCCATAGTTAAGTACGCGTATACGCGTCGAATTTTCAAACGAAACAAACATAAAAAGAACCGATTCCAATCATCGTAAAACCCATTGAATCATTTTTCAATAGAACCAGATAAGAAGGTGTCTCAGATAATAGTTTTTATTGGCACGCCCTGTATGTTTCACGATAAAGTTGAAAATAATTTATCGATTATAATCAAGATTGTTATAATGTCATAATTATGTGCATGTAACATGGTCAGTGCCGTGCATACAGGCACGAACCTACGCAATAAGGGTGATGGAGGTTCCCATGAATCATAAAATTAGTTACTTTTTATCACACGTCAGTAAAGTGAAACTCAAGATATAATTCGTTGGCCAAATATTGATTCTGTCTCAAAAATATTCTTATGCACATATTTAACGAATTTCGTCCCGAAACGCAAAATTAGGGGAGGCACAATATGTTCTGCCTGGAAGCACGTATACAATGTGATAGTGTTTTTGCAATTAGATTCCAAAGTACCAAGGTAAAGAGCTAACGGTAAAGATCGTGTGCAAACTTTCTCTCCGCGAGCCATAAAATGACTGTCGAGAGACAGAACAAGGATCGAAAACCGATAATGTATCGAAACGAAAAAACGAGAGAAGATTCTTAATTAGAATTAATTCGCTCTGACCATATGTGGTGATTAACATATGATGATTGGCACAGTGGTCACGCTAGTAGTGTCGTTAGGTCTGGTTTAGGTTTTTGATTCCGTCGAACGAAGAACGGTATGGATAAAAAATAACATTAAAAGACCGCGAAGCATATCTTTCGATAATTAACGAATAGAAGTGGAAATTGTTACCAATTTCTGTAATATTATTTTACTCCGTGAACGAAAGTAAATCAAGCGTGGTTTATTTGACTGTTATCGTGTCGATAATTATTATAGCCATCGACATTTTTAAATATACTCATCGACAGAATTTTCGTACAAACGACTACCTGTACTCCATAATTTCAAACGCGTCGACGAAATTATCCTTTTTGTTTCTCGATCGTTTTCAGCAATCTGCTCAACGATATTTTGCATAACAACGAGGCCTTTTAAGAAACACGAAATATAATTGTCATTAAGTACCATGCTTCTGCGCGTTAATCCCCAATACTTTAACGACGACATAGCGATAAACTAAACACAATATTATTCAATTGCGTATCGTTCGGAAAAATTGCAACAATGTTAACTATGTCTAGCATTCCACGTGTGATCAACGCTTTATATTTCAACACGGGTTGACTAACACAACC